GCGAGTAGTCACTCACATCCCTACCATGACTGACAAGCAGAGGCTGAGGGAACTGGGCTTATTTAGTCTGCAGAAGGGAAGAGCCTTCACTTACCTGATGAGAGCTCCAAAGAGGCTGGCGAGAGGCTGTTCTCAGTGGTGACAGGTGACCGAATAAGAAGCAATGGGCTCACGTTGCAGTGGGGGAGGCCTAGGTTGGATATAGTAGTCACTCACATCCCTACCATGACTGACAAGCAGAGGCTGAGGGAACTGGGCTTATTTAGTCTGCAGAAGGGAAGAGCCTTCACTTACCTGATGAGAGCTCCAAAGAGGCTGGCGAGAGGCTGTTCTCAGTGGTGACAGGTGACCGAATAAGAAGCAATGGGCTCACGTTGCAGTGGGGGAGGCCTAGGTTGGATATTAGGAAAAATTATTTTGAGGGCGGTAAGGCACTGCAATGGATTAACTAGGGACATGGTGGAATCTCCATTCCTCAAGTTTTTTAATGCCCGACTTGACAAAGCCCTGGCTGGGACGATTTAGTGGGGGTTGGGCCATGCAGGCCTAGAGAACATAATTTTCATTCTCTACATATAACTTTGCACATATTTCCATACATACATCTCTCAGTGGTTATGATGACCAGTGTGACAGCATTTCATTAGAGACTTTACCCAAAAATATTTTTGGGAACCCTGCACTTCTGTGTACCCTTGTGCCCTCTGCCTCTGGCATCAAGCGGCCCCTGTGTCCCACATTTGGTTACATATGGCTCTTAGCTTGAGCCACTAGGCAATACTAAATTGTAGAAGAGATAAAACTGCCAAGAATGTAGGTCACTCCATGCAACAGAAGCACAAAACCTGTTAAAAAGCCTCACGAAGATTGTTGCCATATTTCTGTCCAAATCTAACAGCATAAGACAACTTGACAGATTTAAAAGCACTTTTATTTTATGCACAAATGTTACATTTGATTACAAACAACTCCGCAGATCTAAAAACTGTCCCAGAATGGAAGCTTCACAGTGCTGTGCTACCATCCTAATGTCAGCCAAAATTTGCTAACATGATCTCAGGGCTTTGTAACATCGGGGAAAGATGAGGTAGCATTTAAACTATAGAAGGCACAAGCAGCCATGCACAGCAATGTCACCCAACAAACCAGGAGCAGGATCTGGCTGCTGGCAGCCTGCTAATATTACTCAAATACTATATAATCCCTGAGGTCTATGCTCCAATTATCTGCATACATTTGGACCGCTTCTACACTACAGATTTAGGTCAACACAAGGTGGTTTGTGTCGACATAATTCTGTCTCAGACGACAGTACAATGGTGCTCCCGCCAAAGTAAATTGCCTGCTACAGGAACTTAGTAACGCCACCTCCACTAAGGAGCGTAACACTTAAGTTGACAATAGTTACAATGATGCAGCGTGGGCACAGACACCGTGTTACTTGTTACTTTTGATGGCTCCAGGAGATCTCTGGTCACTGTTTTGAACTCCACTGTCCAATGCCCCTCGCCCTTTAAAGCCCTGTGAATTTTGGAATTTCCATCTCCTGTTTGCTCAGGAGGGAGACTCGCCTTGAATCGGCCCAGCCGACCATACTGGTTGCATGCAGCAAACATGCCCTGACTTGAGCACACGAGATATGATGGCTCTCCTGGGTCTGTGCAGGCACAGCGCCGCTCCAGGCACAGAAACATGGATCTCCCTGGCCAGGGAGACTCAGGGACATGATGGAAAAGGGGTATAACAGGGAAATGCAGCAGTGCAACATGAAAACCTAGGAACTACAGCAGGCTCACCAGAAGGCATAGGAGGCAAAGTTACTGTGATGCCCAGGTGCAAACATGCTGCTTCTACAAGGAGCTGCATGGCATCCTCAGCGGTGACTCCTCCCCACCCCCTGGGCCCTGCAGATACTTCTGAGAAGTTGGAGTCATGACTGCTGCAGTGAATCCTGACTGGACGAATGAGGGAGAGGGGTGTGGGGGATGGTGGAGTGGTGAGCCCAGACCTCTTCCCCACATGGGAGCTGTCAAGCCAGTCCCTAGGATCCAGCATCAGCAAGTCTTATGCAGGGGAAAGAACCTCTGGTAAGGACATTTGCTTCAGTATTGCAGGGACGCATCTGGTCACATATCATGTTTTCAAACAGGCTAGATGAGACAGTGAAATAACCGTTAGTGAAAGAGATGCCATCTGCCTCACTCCCTGGACAGCTAGGCAGAGGCCATGCAGCACCAGGATGTCCCCTGCACCCTCCATAGCGCTCTCAGGAAGCAGTCTACAAACCCTGCCGAAGGCTGCCTGGGGGGGAGGCGGCTGCCCTACTTCCTCCACCATAGTGGGTCACTTTCCCATGCCACTGCACAATTAATGCAGTAGGCATCATTGCAGCACACAGGCTAACTGCATACAGACCAGGTCAGCAGCTGAACGCATGCAGGGGCTATTCCTTTCTGCCTCCGTTACCTGCAGGAGCAAGGTATCTGCTAACACTCCACTGCCTGTGGGAGCCAGTGAAGTTTCAACTGCCCCATCTGCTTACACCGATGCCTGACACTGTCCTGCCTCACCCTGTCCCACGAGGTGGCCCTGCAGCCCAGCTCTACGGATCCCAAGGAAAGAGAACATTGTACTTGTAACTGGTGGGGATACTCACAATAGTACTTCTGTCCCTTGGTTCTTTTGCAGCTGCAAGTGTGGCACTGAAGGCCTCTCCGTCCACACCAGTAGAGCAGTCCTTCAAATAGCAGGAGAAAGAGGACAAGGGAAGACATGTAGCAGGAGGGCCTGTAAGGCTCCGCTGTGTCCGATTCCAGGCTTGCCGGGTGACACTCGGGACAGAACGCAGAGGGATAGCGAGGACAGGATAAACAGGTAGATAAGGATGATGGTGCCGCTCAGGGAGCAGACAGGCATGCTGTGGTCTCTGACAAAACTTCAGGTTAAGCAGGTGCATGCTCGCCCCCCCCTCCTGCAGACAACTGCATTCTGGGTGCTCCCTACACTCCTTCCAGGCATCCTCCTGGGCCACAGCAGAACCCCTGCCACTCCATCCTACAGGACAAGACACAACCACAGTCACCTATGCACCACACTATGAGGTACTCGGCTGGAGTCTGTTTGGAAAATGAACATGCCAGTTTCTTTCCGCTTGTTCCACGCCTGTAAGAAGGTTCATTCTGTTATAAACATGTTTGTATAATCCTTGATCCACTTCCTATTAGGCATGGTTAGGAGTGTGCTCATAGCACAGCAATGTGGAGATGCCTTTTGACCTGGGTTAAATTTTATCGAGTCCAAATTTGGGCAACCAAACCCTTTTGTGTTTCAGGAGACGGCTGACTTACTCTCTTGTGCTTGGAGATAGCTCAGCTATTGTGTGAGGTTTAATGTGAGACAGGGTTAAACTAAAGAGAACCCCTCCCCCTCCTCCCGCTGCCAAACTGTCTCCAATCCAAATCAGCTCATCGGGCCATTGGACCACACAGGCTGTCCATCTACCTGGCCTGGCTATTTTCTTAGCAGGAGGTGTGGGGGTCACTTCAGCCAAGCAGAGCACAGAAAAGAATTTCTGCTGCCTGTCTTTAGGTGATACAAGCTATCAGGCTAGTCCTCACTCGACACTGCTCACCTCACTGTTTTAGCTAGAGAAAATTCCGCCTGCAAGTACTTTGGGGGGTACGAACCTGCCCATACGAAGCAATTCTGGATGTTATGTCGGGGTGAATATCCCACAGCTCACCCTCGTGCGTTTCACGTAGTTCGCCACTTGGAACGCATGTCAGGGAGCACATTAGAAACTGCAGTTGGGCAAACTCGCCTGAATTTTCTGTATTGTCTGGTCTTCCAAGTCAATCCCATCTAGATGGAGATGTTTTAACTGGGGCAGTGCCTGGCACACAGCAACAATGGCGTTAGGAGACAGCTTACGGCTGAATGCAAGACAGAGGGTTTCTAAGCACTTCAAGTCTGCTATACAAGCCAAGCCTGCATCTGTTAGGGAGCAAGCACTGCTGATTTCCAAAGAGCGGAGTTGTTTCATGTGACGTCTGATGAAGTGAACAGCAGCATCTGTAATGACACATTTGTGCAGCACCAGACACTCCAGGTCTTCCAAATGCGGTGCTGCTCTCTGAATCCCAGCGTCGGTCAGCCGGTAGGTTCCAGAGAGGCTCAATGTCCTCAAGCTGCTCTGAGATGAGATGTTGAACAGATGCTGATCAGAAAAAGCAGGAACGTTATGGATGATGAGATGCTGCAGTTGCAGCAGGACTCTGGGAGCCTCAGGAGGTGCAGATCTTTGGAACCACACAGCAGGGATCTCACACTGGCTCAGCTCCAAGGTCCTCAGAGAAGTTGGCATACAGTCATATGGGAGCAGACGGAGGTCGGCCTCTGTCAGGCACAGGTGATGGAGGCTGGGGCACTGCGTCCCAAGTGCCTGCAGCAGCGCGGGGGAAAGGAATCTTTGTTTTCTCATTGAGCACAGAGCTCCTCTCGCTTTCAGTATCCTCAGGCCATTGCGCAGGTGCTGCCGCAGCAGGTGCCACAAGATCCTGGAGCTGATCTGAGCACAAGAGAGCAGCAAGAAAGCACTTGGCACCTTGACAAGAAATGGAAAAAATGCTACGGAAGCACTAGGGACGTAATAGTGTAGTCGATTAACCAATAAGCAAAAGCATATTGATTAATGTTATAGAGGACATGTATTCTCCCCACCCTTCTTGCCAGTACAGTTTTTAGCAGGCTGGCTAGCAGCCCGGCTTACACCAGGTCTGGGACCTACCCCGCTGCAGCTCTGCATTTGAAGTGCATTAGGAGCCAGGTGGGCAGGCAGCCCAGCTCAGTTCCGGCTCGTGCTGGGTCCGGGAGCTCTGGACCACCCCTCCCCATCCCCCTGGGACAGGGACTGCTGCTAACCCACACTGCTGTCTCTGATACAGAGGCAGCAGCATGAAGTGGCAGGGGGCTCCTCAGGAGTGGGGCCGGAGGGCACTGATGGACGGCCCCACCCCCAGGGACTACAGAATAGTCGAGCAACCAATAAGAATTCATGAGGTTAATAGAATATTCAATTAACCAATATTTAACATCCCTAGAAAGCAATAAATGAGCAAAGAAAGGCCCATCCTGCTCTTCTTTAAATATGTTTAAAAAGGTACTTGACACTGGTAGGGTAAACCACAGGCACTATCCTACACTATATTGCCTCTTACCCTGACTACTGATGCTCCTTTACCTACGAGCAACCTCAGTCCCTGCTCTTCAAACTCTAGCATGTATCAGATACTGATGCTGCCTTTTGCTACACACACACACACACACACATACCCTCCCTCCTCAGACACCACCCCTGGTTTCAGGAACTTGCTTTCAGCAACCCTTCTGGTTTTAAAAATGCCCTTCAGAGACTGGTCAACCTTTCTGTCCAACACTAGGCTCCTGTACATCACTCCTCCTCCCCCCATGCCCCTGAAATATCTTAACTGTATCTCTCCTAGTCCTCCTTTTCTTCACCATCTCTCATGTTGGATCCCAAGTGCAGGTATTTGAGCCACAAAGGCCCCTCTGCCATTTCCCCAGGACAGAATTTATCAGCCCTGTAGAGTGGTTTTGAGTAGGAGGCATGCAGCTGGACTGGTACCTGGTATGGTGTTAAATCCACATATCTCCAGAGCATCTTGTCCTGCACCAGCCTGTGCCAGCGTTTGCAGACCCTACGGGGACAGAAGCAGTGCAGGTTATGATCCCGGCAGCAGCCCGCATGCTCAGTTGTGTGTATGCACATGCCCAGGGAGGGCAGAGAGTATCCATCCGGGAGGCATGAATGACCCACTCCCCTTCCAGGGGCATGTACACAACTAGGAGAAATCCCATCATGGGAGCAGGCAAGAATTATGGGGACTGCGGCTGAATGGAGACACTTGCGGGGGTGTTTCCCATGGCGGAATGAAGAGGAGATCTCGCTATAACCACTCAGGAGGGAGGGACTCCCGTGGGAGTGGATGGAGCTGCTGGGGGGGAGGGAGGGTGATTCCTGTGGGGCTG